GACTTTCCGAAGGACCGAAGTTCTGAAAGAAGCGGTCTTTAGCTGATATCAAGGTTTGCAGTTCCCTCCTCAGCTCCTAAGCATCCCTGCGTGTTTTGCGAGGTGTGAAAAGCCCACCACTAACACGTGGTAGGTGGAGGGGTTAAAACAGCATGCGATGTGAACTTTGATGACTTCATTAAATCCTGTCTCTGCAGTATGTTGGCCCACATCTCTTGAACTGTTGGAGGTAGCTGCCTCCAAGATGTTAAAGGGGTGTTAGCAAACGTTGTCATGACGGAAAGTTTCGTGCGTTTTCCAATCACATATTTCAGACATTACGATTACGATTTAGAGGCTTAGTAGGCCACAAAAATTATTAGGCTGCTATTGTTTTTTTAAGTAGTCACAGCTAGTGGCAACCCATTCCGTCAGTACTGTCTTGCACTGTTTGGGATGAGCGAGCCACCGGTTGTGCCTGTCCTGGAAGAGGTGGTAATTAAGTGTGCTCTGCCAACGCTTCCTCGGATGAGTGAGGGGATAGACTTTGCGAACGTAATAGTGCTCACCGTTGAGCACTATTATATTCTTAGACTTTTATCCCGAAGCTCTCTCACTGGGGGATAGACTTTTGCTTCAGGATCTTCATTTTCAAATTTAGTTACTGGGAACCTCGAGTTTGGCATATGGTAAGATTCTCCAACCAGATTTTATTAACTCTGGTTTTTTTCATTTCTAAACTCTCATTACGTTCTTCATGCGCTCTTTGATTGCGCAGGTCCTTCCTGCGGTCCATGTTGAAGAATTCCAGTGTAATCATTATCTCATCGATCTTGCAACTTCTCCTCACTGGTGACCATATCTTCTGTTATGACATTGTTGCCTGCACCGTTGTTGTCAAGATCTCGGACGAGGAGGCGAACGGCATGGCCGAGTTTCAGTAATCAATCCCCTGCTCAGCTATCGATGCCTACGGTCTGCGTAAGTCTGTTTATTCAGTCCTTTTGGTGTTTTTAATGGGACCATGTAACTATCGACGACCAACGGTCACGTCATTCCCGCCGAGACATTTAGCTTGAGGATGATGAACGCGCAATCACTGAAACAGTATGCGTATAGGCCTGAGCTTGTGGACTCTTGCGCGGGTCGCGGGACCATGTCTGTTCTGGATTTCTCAAGTTCGACGTGACCGTTTTTTGAGTTTTTATGAACATAATGAAATGGCACTTTATAAGCCGCGAAGTCTAGATGCCTGTTGATGGATTTGGCATCTGCGTATCATGTGAGGCTCCTTCTTTTCTTGAGATTCTTGGGAGTTATCCACCTCAAAGCCATTTGTCCTGCCTTATCATACGGAATGGGGAAGGTCTGCTACACCAAACCTCCCTACGATGGATCTATCTCCCCTCCTCCATGTTTTTGATAACGGAGCAGCCCCTCCCGA